CCCCCCCAAGGGAAAGCAATAGAAATGAGCTCTCTCTAGGTGGTCATGGTAGTTTCTCCGATGCTTATATCACAATCATACAAATGCCATACTTTTTCTAGTTCAAATTTATGTTTCTTATAAGAGAAATGTAACGACTCTTGAATGGCGCCTTTATCAAGAGGTTGTGTTACAGCTCATGCTTGGTCTATTGCCTTATTTCCTTTTATTTTAAATTGTCTCGATCCATTTCTTTTGTTTCAATGGCACTCGAACGGAAAGCTAATGATTAATCCAAGATTAAGGGACACTAATTGTCAAATGTATTATTAGATGATCAGGTGAAAATTTTGTGATTCGGAATGTAATCTTTACCGCTCAGTTTATTTCAGTTAACAATTTCTGGTGTTGATTTTCAACTACATTATGCTATGTGAAGCAATTTGGGCGTCTAGAGTAACTTTTCTTTCTCTGTTTCGATAACAATATGTTTAAGCGGAGTTACCTGTTCCCTTGACAAGTAACTCCACAATATATTTATTTTGTTTCTGGTCATGGCTAACCTGTCTGGTTCGTGACATATTCAGCTTTTAAATTTTTGTATGGAGTACAAATATTGGGTACTTCTAAATTTGCTTCCATCTGCTACTTTTGTGCTAAATCTAGTGCATCATTTTTGTTGATCCTTTGCTGCTGGCAGGACTGCTAAGCACTCCATTATTGGTGATGTTTTTGGTCTTCTTTCAGCAGTTTGTTATGGCCTATTTACAGGTAAGATACCTGTCATGTTTGGGATGAAATTTTCACTTTTATTTTATAATGATAATACTAATTTCATGATTCTTATTTTGATCTATGTACGGCTTTCTGATGTGCTCAGTGCTCCTCGAGAAATCTGCTGGATCAGGAGAAAAGGCAGATATGGAGAGGTTCTTTGGATATCTTGGAATATTCACTTTGTTCGGCCTTTGGTGGATTGGTAATGGACATTTTGAAAATTTGTGCCCCCCGGGAATAACATTATGAATTTCTTAATTTTTCTTTCATATTCAGAGAAGCTGCCTACTATTCTCTCTTTTTGGCCTATCAACAACAACAACCCAGTAAAATCCCACAAGTGGAGGTTTGGGGAGGGTAGTGTGTACGCAGACCTTATCCCTACTCCGGAGGAGTAGATAGGCCGTAAAATTGAACGAGAAACACACGAATTGAACAAGGTGACCAGTTCGTGTTTTCTTCTTCATATTTGTGTAGAATGATTAGGGGATGCAGAAAAGAAACCCAGATTTCTGCTAAAGGGGAAGCAAGAGGGAAAATATAGGATAATCATGCACAGAGGTTAAATTCTTCAGGACTTCAGGTGTCTAAGTAAACAGCATAACACAACTTCTCTGTAAGGAAGGTGATTTTTCTGGTAGTGCTTAAATTCCGGAACTGATTTCATTAAGTTCACACACAAAAAGAAATCTTTTGGCTTTTAGGTTTGGAGTTGATCTCTTGTGTTTCGTAATTGTCTTTGTGATGAAAATGTGCTTTTGGGGCTTTTAGGTTTGGTTTGGTCTCTGTTGTTTTATTGTTGTACTTTATGATGATATTCTGTTCCATTTACTAGCACCATTCTATTTAATTGTCACGGAGTTTAAGAGTATTTGAAGAGTTGGAAGGTTGAAATTACAATTTATTGGAAGCGCATCCAAAGTTAGAGTGTACTTTTATAAGAATAGAAGTCGGACCAGCTACTTTTGAAGTACTATATTATTGCAAAAGCAAACGAAGGAAAAAATTCCCTTTCATGAGAAATGAAACCATTTTGGTTTCGAAAAGGAAAGAAGACAAATAATATTTTTCGTAATGGGTGGAATTCAAATATTTTCTAAGCCAGTGGAAAGAACTCCCAGAATCCAAGTGTATTGCAACCACTCCTATCTTATACCGTCCTTAATTTGAATCTCTTCCTTAATTGATTGTGGATTACTGATTTTTATCATCCCCAATTCTTTTTCCAGCATGGCCATTAAATGTTGTTGGATTGGAACCTAAGTTTGATTTCCCAAGCTCGGCTTCTGTTGCTGAGGTTGTGCTGCTGAATGGCTTTATTGGGAGTGTTCTCTCTGACTACTTATGGTACGTACCAACACTTATCATCGTGAAAATAAGAAAATAAACAGAGAACTTGTTTTGAGCTGATTATGAAACAAGATACAAGAGGGCTCCTTTATAGGAGTACCACTGCTAGAAATAAGATCTTAAACTATACGAAATGAGGAAAGTTACCTGAATATGGAGATTCCTTATTATATCAGAATTAGGAAGAGCTTTCTATACGTTTGACCTTGTTGAGCTAGCTCCCTCAATGGAGATTTTGAGTAGCTGCAATTGACTGGAAAATAAGAAAAAGATGTTCATTCCATCATCTAGTTCTAGTTACTATTAATTTATAGCAACTTCACTGGCTAATTAACTAAACCAACTACTAGCGAACTAATTAACTTAACTAAGCTCCAGTTCTAACTCGTCACATTTCTCACAGCCTGTCACTCCACCCTCTTTTTTTCCGTATCACTTAGTAGTCCTCGAGTTCAGAGGTACAGAAGATATTTTCTCACCCAGCTTGCACAGGAAGGTATTCATGCCGAGTCTCTTCATGGCTCTTGATTAAGATGTCTGCTAGTTGCTCCTTTGTGCGAACATATTGTCTACCAATAGCATTAACCTTGACCTTCTCCCTTGTGAAATGACATGCAATATCTATGTCAGAACCGATGCTTCTGAGTTTCAATAAACTCATAGAATGAATCTTAGAATATTCTAAGTATACGGGCATTAAATCTTGACTTTGAATAAACCCATTTGGATCTTGTGTTAGGTCACTTTTACATTTGCTGCTTAGGTTAAGGTAATCTTTATCATCTCTATACATATTGATCAACTCTAGGGAAAACATTTTCTGGGGTTAATCCCGCTCCTCTAAACATTTAGCTTGACCACAATATGCTAAATCAGATGACAGTGGAGACAAAACGAAATCAAATTGCAAGGAGAGCAAACCAATTCTCGGGCTCTTCGGAATCTGCCTGTCTTTTTTCTCTACATTGATATCTACTTTTGCGCTATATGTTTTTAGATTAACAGGGGCAAGTTCTTGAATTATGAAACAGGGCCCTTTCAGTAGTATGGACAACACCACTAGTTGCGACACTGGGAATGTCATTGACCATACCTCTTGCTATGATTGCTGACATGCTAGTTCACGGCCGTCATTACTCTGCAGTGTACATTCTTGGATGCATTCAGGTTTTTCTCTTGGCTAACTCCGTACATAGCTTCAAGTTACAGTTTTCATGTAGTTTTTGGTTTGTGTCACAAACTTCTATTTGAATCTACAAGTAGTGGTCTCCAACTTACAGTGGCCACTTGCCATCTTTACTCCTATCTTATGTTAAAAAGAAAAGCACTGGAAAGATCATTAAAGACTTAATTATGGAAAGACTAGGGGTCTGCGATCCAGTTTCTGTTGGATTGGCTGAAACAACGATATTACTTCTCTACTTACTTGAATGGTGTTACGTGTATATTATAGAAACTGAGAAAGATTAGATACCCAAACTTCAAAATTGAAAGGTTTTATTGCACATTTGTTCCTTATTTGAATCATGAATCAAGCCCCTCTTTTTCATCTTTGGCAAGTTCATTAAAGCCGTTTTACTTATTATTTTTCAAGGTTTTTGCTGGATTTGTTATGGCTAACCTCTCTGACAAGTGTTCGTGCCAAAGAAGATAACCTCATGGCTACTCAGTTTCAAGATGGAGAGCATTTTAATCTCAAGTGTATAAAACATATACTGGGGGTAGAGAAATAAAGTTTTCTTCCCCTCGTGAACAAGATTTGTAATATGTGTTTCAAAGTGTATATACTTTGTTATTTTTGCAGTATGTATTCCTTCTCCATGGAAGTATTCCTTAAATTTCTTATCATCTCCCTATTATTATTATTATTTATCCCATCATCTATCCGTCCGTTTGTTAGCTTGTTTTCTTTTTCTCCCTTTCCCTGTCATCCTTTAAATCATTGTGGCTTTCACATAGTTTGATACTACTACCTAGGGGTGGCAAGTGGGCCGGGCCCGGTCCTATGCGGTCTGGTCCTAAACGGTCCCGGGCTTCGCGGGCTTATTGCTGGAACCGGCTCGGGACCGGGACCACGAACTAACGGTCCCGGGTTAAGTGGGCCGGTCCTGGGCCCAAATGGGCCCAACAGAAACTTTGTATTTTTTATTTTTATTTATTTATAGAAGTTAGAGAAAAAAAATAGTAATAAAGATATATAAGCTATATTTGATTTATATACTATATATACATCTTAATA